GAAGTAGAATAGTTTTTTTTTTTGTTGGCATATGGTTTGAAGGCTGTAATGAACATTGTGAACAAGTTTATTAGTTTTTATGGAAATTACTCACTAACTTGACTTTTGCAGACTTCTGTCAGTTGGTGTGAAAAACCTAATTTTCACAGTTTAATTACCTTATAGTTTGAACAAAAATGTGTTCATTATTAACACTAAAGTGTGGCCCTTTGTTTTATTTGAAGGTCACTTATTGTTTTCTTATTTTCTTTTTAAACTTTTAATTGCTTTTTGCTCTTGATTGAGAGCAAATATCTTGTTGGAAAATATGTTATCCTATACCTATACCTATATATATATATATATATATATATATATATATATATATAGCATATGAAGAGAGAGGCCAAAACAATTCTTTTTTTTTTAATAGAGGGGAGTGTCTGTGTGTGTTCAGTGAAAGATCAAACTACATGTTAGCATGTAGAGTTTTTGTAATCCACCGGTCCATTTTAATTTCATGGTAAGTCACTAAGATTGACTGACCTTTTTTTGAGATTTGATTAGTTCCTCGTTGGTATGACGCCCCTGACTATTTGTCATTTTTGTCAGATTTTTGTCTTAATGTCACTGTGCTACAGATGCTAGTTTAGCCTACAAGTTTGTTGTCAACAACACTGCAACCAGCATCAGAACACGGTAAAGTCCATTGAATTTGTGTTTAATGAGTTTAATTAAAGGTCTAGGTAGAAGAATTTTCAGACATTAATCAACAGTGGCATAATTGCAGTAGCAATGTTAGCATATCTTGTGGCTACTGTAATTTGCCCATGACAATGCTAACTCTCAAAAGCTGACTGCAGTAGAAGAAAATGTGATTATTTTTATTACTATGTTTTTCTAAAAACAAGAAATGTCTTCTTTTTCCAAACAGAATATCAAATTATTTTTTTTAGATCACCTTAAAATCGTTCCTCAGTCACACACATACACACACACATAGTGGTTGTGACGTCCCTGCAGGTTTCCTTTCTTCTTTTATTCTTTCTCTTTTTAGCCGAGATGAATCGAAGGCTTGAGCAGAACTCATCCAATATCTGTTGTGTGGGAAAAAAACGAGAAATTAGTTTTCTGCTCTGTGCTGATATGAAACAATATGTGGTGCGCTATTTGCTGTGTGTGTTGTGTGTGTGTGTGTGTGTGTGTGTGAGACACCCTCAGCCTATGTTCTTTGTCTCTCATCTCCTGGGCTCTTCAGGAAAGATTTCTGTGCAGTAAAAAATATAGTTACTTCAAACTCCAGTTATCAGTACACTCAGGATTCAGGTGATGTTCGTTCTACATGCAACAAAGAAGTAGCAGTTCTCTAAGTTACCTTTAGGTGGCATAATGCTATTGTTATAGTTTTTGAAAATAGCATAGGTCTGTAGAAAATGTTGCCTTACACTGATTAAGACCAGAAACCATTTTCCTAATATATTTTTGCTCTCACTGGCAAGATTTCTTTTGACAGAAGATGATGTTTGCAAGTAAATTCGCAAATCCACAACTTTTGCAGTGATAAAACAATAGATTTTATTTTAATTTTGCAGCTTACCAGGGTTTGAGCCCTGGTCATTCAAAAATTAAAATGAAAAAAAAAATCTTAACAATGTGTATATTACTTCTATTTTAAGGTTAAAATTCAGAGAAAACACCTTTTGGATGTGTTAATTTTTGATCACAGCAACATATTATGTCAATAAATTCCTAAAAAGTCTTAAAAATAATAGATTCTAGTAAAATATAAAAAATGTAAGAATAAAAATATAAATTTTTTTATTAAAATATGCAGCTGTCATTTATGGTTAACATAACAAAAAAATCGCCAAATGATCTTATTTGATGTGAAACGTGCAGACAAGATAAAACTTTGAAAATAATCAAAGCAGATTGGCATGGTTTAGGACATAGTCTTGCATTTTATGGCATTTCGGGGACTTTTTATTTTTATGGATATTTTCACGATGGTAAGGCTATAGTAAGGCATGTTTTGGGTCATTTTTGAAATATTCATATAAAATACTTTTTGGACTTTTAAACACAAAATATTCACTTGGCAGCATGTTTTAGGACATGATCTTGCATTTTAAGGCATTTCGGGGACTTTTTATTTTTATGGATATTTTCACGATGGTAAGGCTATAGTAAGGCATGTTTTGGGTGATTTTTGAAATATTCATATAAAATACTTTTTGGACATTTAAACACAAAATATTCACTTGGCAGCATGTTTTAGGACATAGTCTTGCATTTTAAGGCATTTCGGGGACTTTTTATTTTTATGGATATTTTCACGATGGTAAGGCTATAGTAAGGCATGTTTTGGGTCATTTTTCAAATATTCATATAAAATACTTTTTGGACATTTAAACACAAAATATTCACTTGGCAGCATGCTTTAGGACATAGTCTTGCATTTTAAGGCATTTCGGGGACTTTTTATTTTTATGGATATTTTCACGATGGTAAGGCTATAGTAAGGCATGTTTTGGGTCATTTTTCAAATATTCATATAAAATACTTTTTGGACTTTTAAACACAAAATATTCACTTGGCAGCATGTTTTAGGACATAGTCTTGCATTTTAAGGCATTTCGGGGACTTTTTATTTTTATGGATATTTTCACGATGGTAAGGCTATAGTAAGGCATGTTTTGGGTGATTTTTCAAATATTCATATAAAATACTTTTTGGACTTTTAAACACAAAATATTCACTTGGCAGCATGTTTTAGGACATAGTCTTGCATTTTAAGGCATTTCGGGGACTTTTTATTTTTATGGATATTTTCACGATGGTAAGGCTATAGTAAGGCATGTTTTGGGTCATTTTTCAAATATTCATATAAAATACTTTTTGGACTTTTAAACACAAAATATTCACTTGGCAGCATGTTTTAGGACATAGTCTTGCATTTTAAGGCATTTCGGGGACTTTTTATTTTTATGGATATTTTCACGATGGTAAGGCTATAGTAAGGCATGTTTTGGGTGATTTTTGAAATATTCATATAAAATACTTTTTGGACTTTTAAACACAAAATATTCACTTGGCAGCATGTTTTAGGACATAGTCTTGCATTTTAAGGCATTTCGGGGACTTTTTATTTTTATGGATATTTTCACGATGGTAAGGCTATAGTAAGGCATGTTTTGGGTCATTTTTCAAATATTCATATAAAATACTTTTTGGACATTTAAACACAAAATATTCACTTGGCAGCATGTTTTAGGACATAGTCTTGCATTTTAAGGCATTTCGGGGACTTTTTATTTTTATGGATATTTTCACGATGGTAAGGCTATAGTAAGGCATGTTTTGGGTGATTTTTCAAATATTCATATAAAATACTTTTTGGACATTTAAACACAAAACATTCACTTGGCAGCATGTTTTAGGACATAGTCTTGCATTTTAAGGCATTTCGGGGACTTTTTATTTTTATGGATATTTTCACGATGGTAAGGCTATAGTAAGGCATGTTTTGGGTCATTTTTCAAATATTCATATAAAATACTTTTTGGACTTTTAAACACAAAATATTCACTTGGCAGCATGTTTTAGGACATAGTCTTGCATTTTAAGGCATTTCGGGGACTTTTTATTTTTATGGATATTTTCACGATGGTAAGGCTATAGTAAGGCATGTTTTGGGTGATTTTTCAAATATTCATATAAAATACTTTTTGGACTTTTAAACACAAAATATTCACTTGGCAGCATGTTTTAGGACATAGTCTTGCATTTTAAGGCATTTCGGGGACTTTTTATTTTTATGGATATTTTCACGATGGTAAGGCTATAGTAAGGCATGTTTTGGGTCATTTTTCAAATATTCATATAAAATACTTTTTGGACATTTAAACACAAAATATTCACTTGGCAGCATGTTTTAGGACATAGTCTTGCATTTTAAGGCATTTCGGGGACTTTTTATTTTTATGGATATTTTCACGATGGTAAGGCTATAGTAAGGCATGTTTTGGGTGATTTTTCAAATATTCATATAAAATACTTTTTGGACATTTAAACACAAAATATTCACTTGGCAGCATGTTTTAGGACATAGTCTTGCATTTTAAGGCATTTCGGGGACTTTTTATTTTTATGGATATTTTCACGATGGTAAGGCTATAGTAAGGCATGTTTTGGGTCATTTTTCAAATATTCATATAAAATACTTTTTGGACTTTTAAACACAAAATATTCACTTGGCAGCATGTTTTAGGACATAGTCTTGCATTTTAAGGCATTTCGGGGACTTTTTATTTTTATGGATATTTTCACGATGGTAAGGCTATAGTAAGGCATGTTTTGGGTGATTTTTCAAATATTCATATAAAATACTTTTTGGACTTTTAAACACAAAATATTCACTTGGCAGCATGTTTTAGGACATAGTCTTGCATTTTAAGGCATTTCGGGGACTTTTTATTCATTTATTTTTTTTATCTGATATAAAAACTATAGTCTTGTTGATTTTCAGATCAGTGGTGGCCTAGTAGATAAGTAAGCAGCTTCTGAAACCTGAAGGTTTCTGCTTCAACTCCACTAGCAGGAAGTTACCACTTACGTGCAGTGCAGATGTTACGGTCCAATTAGAAAAGATATATTTTGTAGTTCATATAATTAATTTGTCGCTATACAGAATTTTTTGTAGCATAAACTTGTATTTTGAGGCATTAATGAGACCTTTTAATTTTTTGCATTTTGTCATGATACTAAGGCA